TTTTTTTTTTTTTTTTTTTTTTTCCGGAAAAACCGGCTACCTGTAGCTATTTACTGATGCCAAATTTGTCAGGTTCTTGCACTTGTGAGAAGGCCGAAGCTATCGACGCAGCTGTCGAGAGCTTTGAAACTGACTTCACATCCCGCTTCCGGTCATAATTGTTCTTTTCACTTTTTTACTTAGTTGCTATTTTTGTCTTGTCTTCATCATTGGATTGGTTCCTGGAGTTCTCAGAGGGTGTTGGTTGGTGCTCAAGACTACATCACGACTTATTGATTGTATTGCTATGAACGATTTGCATCAGCAGTGGTTATGGTCCTGCCAGGTTTACTCATTAGAATAATCAAATGAAAGTTTGCTCCATCAAGGGCAAGTGAGGACCGTCTCTGGATAGCGGGTAGCTCTACACGCTGAATAGAAATTCGCCAATCCTTCCAAACTTGTGACGACTAGCAGTAGAGAACATAAACTTTCGGAGTCATGCCAATATTCCAACCAGGTGCTTATGATTAAATAGCTCCCAGGGCTGCATGCAAGTCAGCTCCCCACATACTGTGCGTTTTACCAGTTCCTCCGCCACCTTCTGAAGGAGGAACAAGACCTTGTTTCTATTGCTGAATTTTATTTCCATTACGGCTGCACGTTCTGAAGCTTAGTCCTTGCAGCCTTTTTTTGGATCAATGATGTCCCGATTTGTTTACATATAGGGAGACACCGCCACAACGCATCAATGTTTTCCCGCATTGGCGGAATCTCCGCCGGATCGGCCGCGGAAGTGGCTCAACCCAGAGAGGCGGTTGCTTCGCTCCTTAAAAGAGGTACAGCTGTTGAAGAACTAACAGCTGAATGCTGGACCTTATACCGGTGTTCAACCCTCTTCATTCGACTTAAGCTTCACAAGGCCATCCTCTGTTTTCTGTATCGTTTCGTTGCCACGGCCACCGACAACCCCGCGCCGACTTGAACTCCATCTTACCCCTTGTCGCGTTATCTGATCCCCTCTACCTAGATACCTCCGCACCTGAGACATACTGCACCGAGTTTTGCACCATGCTCCATGCACCTTAGAGAGCTTTGACGGAGAGCTGGAAAATACATAACTCAGAGTCTAATTAAGACAGTCAGGATATGCTCTTATGACGCTGCCCCACTAACTGAATTCACCGACGTGGTGTCTTTTCCTTTTACCACATACGAAATAACGAAAAAGGACAAATCGGGCCTTTTCTGCCGCCGGAGACAAATCGGTGTCCCATTATTTATCCACTTTTTGGCGATTCTGCTTGCAATACCTATGATAGATCAATCAACATGTCGTCTATGCGAGGCTTGGTCCAGTTTATTGCCGACTTGCGAAATGCGAGAGCGCGCGAGTTGGAAGAGAAACGGGTGAACAAGGAATTGGCCAATATCCGACAAAAATTCAAGGGTGGAAGTCTCAATGGATATCAGAAGAAGAAATACGTCTGCAAATTACTCTATGTCTACATCCAAGGGTACGATGTTGACTTCGGTCATCTGGAAGCCGTCAACCTGATCTCTTCCACCAAGTACTCGGAGAAACAGATCGGGTACTTGGCCGTGACTTTGTTTTTCCATGAGCAGCACGAGCTATTGCACCTTGTTGTGAACAGTATTAGGAAGGACTTGTTGGATCATAATGAATTAAATAATTGTTTGGCACTACATGCCGTTGCCAACGTTGGTGGTAGGGAAATGGGTGAAGCACTGTCAACTGATGTTCACCGGTTGCTGATTTCTCCGTAAGTCATCATCCCCTTACCTCCCCGCTTCTGTGTTAATCTTTGTACCTTGGCTTGATATGCTCATCTGGCTTGAACTAAACTGACACGTAGCTTGCAGCACGTCCAAGGCCTTCGTAAAGAAGAAGGCCGCTCTAACACTCCTCCGTCTATACCGCAAATACCCCGGTATCGTGCAAGTTGAGTGGGCCGAGCGGATAATATCCTTGATGGACGACTCAGATATGGGTGTCACCCTATCTGTCACCTCCTTGGTCATGGCATTGGTCCAGGACAAACCAGAAGAGTACAGAGGGAGCTATGTTAAGGCTGCTCAGCGACTGAAGAGAATCGTAGTTGATAATGACGTTGCTCCGGACTACCTTTATTATCGCGTGCCATGTCCATGGATTCAGGTCAAGTTGCTGCGGCTGCTGCAATATTACCCTCCATCAGGTATCATCTTGCCTGCCTAACGATTCGTTTCTTATCCTGACTGATGCAACGCAGAGGACAGTCATGTCCGCGAGATTATCCGTGAATCTTTACAGCAAATCATGAATATAGCTATGGATACGCCGAAGAACGTCCAGCAGAACAACGCGCAGAATGCCGTGCTCTTCGAAGCCATCAACCTCCTCATTCACCTAGATACTGAGCACAGTCTCATGATGCAAGTCTCGTCACGTCTAGGCAAATATATTCAATCACGGGAGACGAACGTTCGGTATCTTGGCCTCGAGGCTATGACGCACTTTGCAGCCAGGGCAGAGACTCTTGATCCTATCAAGAAACACCAGAACATTATCCTTGGATCACTTAGAGACAGGGATATTAGCGTTCGCCGCAAGGGTCTGGACCTGATTTACAGCATGTGCGACACAACGAACGCCGGCCCAATTGTCAATGAGCTTTTGAAGTACCTTCAGACAGCCGATTACGGGATTAGGGAGGAAATGGTACTGAAGGTTGCTATTCTTACGGAAAAGTATGCTACTGACGCCCAGTGGTACATCGACATGACCTTAAAACTCTTGTCTCTGGCGGGTGACCATGTCAACGATGAGGTGTGGCAACGAGTGATCCAGATCGTGACCAACAACGAGGAGATACAAGCCTATGCAGCGCACACACTTCTCAATTATTTAAAGACTGACTGCCACGAAAGCCTGGTCAAGATTGGATGCTATGTCCTAGGCGAATTCGGACATCTTGTTGCGGACAACCAAGGCTCCAGCCCCATCGAACAGTTCCTGGCATTGCAAGCCAAGATGATTACCAGCACCGACAACACCCGCGCGATGATTCTCTCATCTTTTATTAAATTCGTCAACCTCTTTCCCGAGATCAAACCCCAGCTTCTTCATATATTCCGACTTTATAGTCACTCTCCCGACTCAGAACTTCAACAACGAGCTTTTGAATACCTGTCGCTGGCGACTCTTCCCACAGACGATCTTCTGCGGACAGTTTGCGATGAGATGCCACCCTTCTCGGAGAGAGCATCAATTCTCCTCTCTCGGCTTCACCAGAAGACGGCTGGCACAACCGATAAGAAGACCTGGGTTGTTGGTGGCAAGGATGCCAATCAAGATCAGAAGGAGGTCCTTATGGCGCAAAATACCGGGCTTAAGCGTACATTTACTACGATTGTCAATGGCACGAACACTGGAACAAACGGCAAAGCGGCATCACCAGTATCAAGTGCGACAGGGGACCTAGCAGGACTGGACCTCAGCACCTCATCTACTCCGCCTCCCCCGAACATGGCCAGCGCAGCCCATCTTACGCCGGATTGGGATATCGGGTACAACCGGTTATATTTCAAGGAGCAAGGTGTGCTGTTTGAGGATGCTCAGATTCAGGTTGGTTTGCGATCTGAGTACCGTGGTCATATGGGCGTGGTGAAAATCTACATATCTAACAAGTCGTCCTTTCCCATTGGATCATTAACGACGACATTAGACAACCGTGCAGCGCCCAACCTCAAGATAGACACCAAAAGCTTACCCGAGCCTTCTCTTGCTGCTGCCAGTCAAACCCAGCAAACGTTTTTCTTTGAAGCTCATGGCCCATTCACTGATGCGCCTACCATTCGCATCTCTTATCTTGCAGGTGCCCTTCAGGCCTATACTTTACAACTTCCCGTCCTCATGCACCGGTACATGGAACCGTCGACCTTGTCGGCTGAAGAATTCTTTAAACGGTGGAGACAGATCGGCGGGCCACCCCTTGAAGCACAGAATACGTTTGGGGCATTAGCAAAAGCCAAGGATATCAACGAGACCTTCACGCGGCAGACTGTGGAAGGGTTCGGCTGGAGAATCGTTGACAATGTGGACCCCAACCCGAAGAACATTGTGGGCTGTGCTGTGTACCATTTTGGCACAGGGAAGACAGGATGTCTTCTACGACTGGAGCCTAACTATGAGAAGAAGGTGAGCTTTCTCTCAGCATCCGCTGGGAAATATGGGATATCTGAACTGACATGCTTTTCCGTAGATGTATCGCATCACGATCCGAGCCACACAAGAAGCCGTGCCGCAAGCACTGGCTAAGCAGATGGAGCAGATATTGGCGCAGGGAAACACATCCGATCGTTATGCATAGCCCACAGCACTGCGGTCGGGGCCTTATCGGCTGAAACCTAAAGTTTATAATGCATCTAATACTGTAAATCCTTTATTACTGTCTTTTTTCCCCTACTATTCGCGACTTTGGCAGGAACGCGAGGTAGCGACTTGTATTTATCGAATACTGATGTGAAGAGGTATATATTCAACATCCACAATGTACTGTCGCATAGACCTGTTATCCACACCAGTAGGATGCTCCAGTCAAGGCCTCGTACTTTTATGTCTGGATTACCGGGACCCCCCTCTTGAATGCAAAGGTTCGTAACTCATAACACAGCCCAGATTTTATACCCATATTTAGATCACCTTCGCCTGGTCCTTGGGCGGTCTCTGCCCGAAGATGGTGGTTCCCACCCGTACCTCATCACTTCCCAAGGCAATCGCGCCCTCGAAATCCTCACTCATGCCCATACTCAACTCCAACCTGGCATCCTCCCCTTCCAGCTCCAGCTCCCGCACAATCCGATCGCGCGTCTCCCGCAAGCACACAAAATCCTCATTCTCCGTCTCCGGCGTGGTCGCCTTCGACCTGGCAATAGCCCCGATCGTCATCACCCCCTGCAGCTTCAGTCGTGGACACTTCTCTCGAATAAAGCGACAAAGCGACACCGCACCGGAAACGGGATCGACCCCAGACTTATTCTCCTCGCCGGAGGTGTTCACCTGCACGAACACCCGCAACTGCGACTCTTGGTCGGTTGCGCGCAGCTCCTCAGATCGCTCCCCCCATCCTTTATCGAGGAGGGAGGCTTTCTTCTCGGAATCGACACTTTCGACGGCCCAGAGGCCCCGCACGTCGCGCGCCAGTGTCACGCACTTATTCGACTGCAGACCGCCGATGAAATGCCATTTGATGGTCGGCGGGAGCAGCTTAGACTTCTCCTGCAGCTCTTGCAGATAGTTTTCGCCGAAATGCAGGTGGGCCGCGGGCGGCTGGTGGAGGGCGAGGACGTCGGCGGCGGGCTTGAGCTTGGAAACGGCGATGAGCCGGATGGGTCGTGATTCTGTGGTGGCTTTCGTTGCGGCTGCGGTGACGCGCGACGTCACCGATCCTAGGTTGGAGAGTAGAGTGGCGGTTCGGGTGGGGGGGGCGGGCATGACTGTCGGCTGTTGTTGTTGTTCTTGTGGTGGTGATTGGGAGGTCATTGCAGGGTCTGTGGAAAATAGAGATCAATCTTATGATGGTTCTGTCGATGTGGTGTTCACAATGCCGGTTTCCGGGAGAGGGGCGAGTTGAACAGCGATCTGAACGAACTATGCAGGGTATGTCAATATCGGGATCTAACATGGAGTTTCCCGAGGAGCGCTGCAGAAGCGCTAGCCCCAACTGGGCTGGGCCAGATTGCGCGTGGCCACGTGATACGGGAGATCGGCTCCGAGAGATTCCGTTCCAGAAGATCTCAGGTGGTCATTTACTTTTTTGGGGCTTAGTGTGGCCTATCCGGGGAAGCCGCACGCCGTTTTCGTCGATTCTGCAGAAGATTTACACAGGATGAGGGAAACTAATGAGGGATAGTCAGATCCACTTGTGCCTGGAATGCGAGGTCTAGTTGAAATCTAACGACTTCAGCTTTAAATAGTGTGCCCCCTCTTTCTGACGGAGAAAAGGAAGGGAAAAGGAAAATGAAAAGGAAAGCGAGGAAAATAAAATCAAATAAAATCAAAAGGAAAGGGCCAGCCCGGTATGTTGGACCCTGTGACAGCGGACTGAATCGTAGAACCCACCAGGCATTCCATCCAATTTCACTTACAGACACTATCAGATTCAAGTTGATTATGGGACTTTCTTTTCCAGAACCCTTTCCACTTGTTCCTGCATTAGCAAGAAATTCCGTCAAGCGCGAATTAAACCCAAAGAAAATAAAAACAAAAACAAAAATACAGTGCAATCGTTGCAGCCTAGCCCAGCATTGGGGCAGCACCTCTTTTTGGTCCCAAAGTTTTCAGCCAATTGCCCGCGATGCGCAATGGGGCGCAGTTGGCCGAACCATCGTCCACCGTCTGCCGCTTCGGCGACGAGCTTCTCACTGTCCCTTAATAGCCTATCGGTAGAGGGTCTCCAATCGCCCAGGCACATGGCTACACTACGTAATTGGAGCAGGCCACTCGGCCCCAGAGGAAGGAGGATTGAGCGGCAATCTCGGCGGCACAGGAACGCAGTGTCTATTTTCTGATTTCCTATACATAGCAAAACGAGGACTCGGCGCTACATGGCCCAAATCAATGATTCAATCACCGTTCGTAGCGTTGTACTGATCCTTTCTGTTGACGCCGGACTCCACCAACTTCAGTGCTGACGTCAAAGATTTCCCTCCCCCCCCCCAAAAAAAAGTGTTGCCATCATCGTTTTGTGTTTTTGCTGTTCCTTTTGGCTCGGCCAAGAACTAAGACATCCTACTGCTTATTCCCTACAATTTGGTTTTCTTTTAGGGCCTTTTCCCCTCCCCACCCACGTTCCGTCGACTCCAATTCTTGCACCTGGTGGTTTATCTCACTTCGATTGATTGATTCTTTTCCTTTACTTCACTTCCTTTCTCTGAAAGCAGTGTTGTGTTCTATCTCTATCGTCCCTCTGGTTGATACCAGATATGCTGCGGTAATCCGGGGTTTATCGCATGAAGGTTCGAAACTGGGATCCAGCCCAACAACGGAACAGCACCAAAGCCATTACATTACACTCACGACTACTAAAATTGCGCATTCATATACTCTCGACGGGCTTTTATTTTTCAGGATATTGATAAAAGGAAGCTACCATTAAACCATCGCACATCATCTCGAAACAGTTCAGTACTGTTCAATTGACATCTCTAACCACGAATTTTACCGGAAGCCCGCGGAGTCGATTTAACAACGACAAATCTGCAACACCAACTTCAGAACAAACTACCCTCTCGATTGGCTACAGATTGTGATCCTTGGATAGGGATTCATAGTTTAAAAGGAGCAGGGACAGGCAGCAATAAAGAAGAAAAGAACCGCGCCAACAGCATCATGTGTCGCCAATTCTTCACCATCTATGAATGGTGCCATTGCGAAGAGGATAACGGCCACGAGCTTTGCGCAGCCCGCAGACGAGATATGTGTCCGGGGACGTCGATTGAAACCGTCCATATGCAGTGCTTCTGCCATCAGCATGCCAGCAAAGGGTTCAAGTCTGAGAAAAAGGCCCAGAAATCAAACGGCCCTTCAATTGACGAGAAGGACTCGTTTACTCCACGAAGGAAATGGTATCAGATCTGCGGTAGTCGGTCGCGGACTTACTGAGACGTCTGGACCTCTCTCCCTTTACGGTATCATACGCAGATCAATGGCTGGTTTCTTTTGGCTTTGCATTGTCAAGTTCTTATGTCTGGGTTGGGTGTTCAATTTTATTTTGGGATTTTTCATGGATTCATTGGGGCCGGTGTTTGGTTCGGTCTTAGGCGTTCCTTCGGGTGATGATTAGGGGTGTTGTGTCCTCCTTCTTCCTCCTCCTTGATATCTCTTGTTTCTCACTGTACGGCTATGGGAAGACCTCTGTGTCTCTTGAATAAAACCTGTCAGAAATACAGACGATAGTCGGGTCAACCTCGGCCGGCTAGTGCGGGTCAGTTGACATGTCCTTTTGAGCCTTCATGCTGCAGATGGAGGAAATAAATATAGTAACCCAAGGCCTATTGTTATGGAGGTAAGCCAAGAAAGGTACGCCCAGCCTTTGTGGGTATTAGCTTTTATTTTATTATTATCTTGCAGCCATAGCCACCATGCAATTGCTTCAAGCGGGCAATCCCTAGTCCGTACCAGGTGATAGACTAACATTTCCAATTATTAAAGTGACGGATCGACTCTTGTGTCGTGATTAAGGTTCCGAGAAACTTGATGTCAGATCCACATTATCGTAAATATTTATTCATTAGTCCTGCTCTTCTGACTTGATTGCTCCCTGAGGCGGCTCTTGTTCGCACTCTATAAACAGACCACTATAATTAACTCCAGTTGGAATCAATCGTCCCCAAAGCCCTAGATATATTGTACTTCTAACCTTTTTTTTTTTTATTCCCAAGTATCTCTGTAGTAGAACTCTATACGGGGTAAGTTCTGGCTTAATATTTACTATAAACCTAGCGCCTAAATCAAGTCCTGTGAGAATATTCGTTCGACAATTCATTGTGTACGAGACGTAGCCTTCTGATCGGACAGTAGAGCCAAACTGGTTATATACCAGCCATACTTTTCCTACGTACTCGATTTCTTTTCTTTGCCCGCAGCTGGCTATCTCATGAGGCGGAATCCATAACAACGTCGGCCATACTAGCATTGTCAGCTCTTTGAAGGCTTCGATAGCCCACACATAATCCCATTTGACTTATTTACTATGGCATCTGGGGAATATACACAGTGACCGGAAACAAGGGATCGGGGTTTCACCAACTGCCGCATCAGATAGTGCATATCAATTAATTGAACATGAGGCGGCGTCTCGACGAGTCCACCACCACACTCCCCAGCTTACAATGACCGTATAGATAACCCGGAGTAGAATAAGAAAGCCAGGGAAACACTAGTGTTAGCTGACTACAGAGACCTGTCACTTTACTAAAATCGGAAGTTACTGCTAAGTCAAGGGAATAAAAGACAATTAAGCATAAACTTAGGATGATCAGAGTACCTGTTCAGAGTTCCAGTATCTCTCAAATTACTGGCAGATAGGCAACATCGGTCCGCGCCAGAACCATACAGAACCATCGCAATTCGGTGCCTTTATATCTGTAACATAATTTACGTGCGGTCTGAGATTGCAGCGTATATAGGGGGGCACAGGGTAGCGAAATCTTAGAGATAGAGGGCTCGTTCATCTGATGCTGAGCGAGACAATTAGGGCTTGCAGGCTTGAGTTCAGGGAGGTTGGGTCTTCTCAGGGGCTAGTTGCTTATGTGGGACCAGTTCGGAGGGGCAATAATTTTCCCTGGCTAAGTACAGTCTTCTTTGACAGGGCGTATGATGCAAAAGTTGCCCTTGCCCCTCCTTCGTCTATTGTTTTGGGGGTGTACCTAGGAATTAAGAGGGTGTCTCCTGTACCCTAGACTAATGTCGGTATGCCTGAGCTGGTAATATGATCAATTCATCTACGGATATTGTTGCAGAGAAATTGATCGAAAATTATGAACGAGTCAAGCCACGCTGTCGTTCAGCCATGTCCGTAGCATAGATCAATCGTCAAGAATGAAAGGGGAGGTTGAGAGAAGAATGGAGGATCGACTGCCCCTTACCCTATCGGGGGAGAAAGTTTAAGGGATCCAACGAGGAGAACGAAACAGTCTGTCAGCTCCTTGTTTGTGCTCCTGACTCTTTGTTTTGTTCTCGACCTGCGACTTCATCGTTTTCTTTTTTCCCTTTCTTCTGATCGGATCCTGGTCTTATTGTTTAGCTCTCAATTGTCTACTGTATCATCACCGAAAAAAACAAAAACAACGCTAATAAAGCCACACCACCAAATGAACCTACTATTTGCGTCATGGACCCCTCCAAGCGCGACGATCCTCCAGCTGCATCATTCACTCCCACTTCGGACGCACTCGCGTCGCCAACTCCCACCACCGGTCCTGTAAACCGGTCGCCTCGCATAAACGATGTGTCAATGTTTGCGACACCTCTCCCGGTCTCTCCCTCCGGGTATTCCTCTTCTTCTCACTTATCCCCAGCAAATGCTCCCGCGCGCGCCACATCCCCTCAGGCGCATACAACCCCTCGGCGCATCTCCAGTGCTAGTTCCCTGAGAGATGAACATCGAAGTTCCAGTCTGAAGAAGCGGTCGTCCACCGCGTCGCTGCGATCGGTCCGCCACGACAGCAGAACCTCGACATCCCCTCACCGTAGTGTGTCGCAACACTCAACGTCGTCGCTCTCTAGCTCTCCGACCGCCACTACGCCGACCACTTTGGGTAATCCCAACATGCTGTCGAAAAAGTCGCGCCTTGCCAAAGCAAATGAGCTTCCCATACCCACGGCTGCCTCTATCGCGGCAGACCATTTTCAAAGAGAGGTGGAGCTGCACCAGTCTGCTGACCTACAGTCTCAAACGCTCGTGGTCATTCATGATGCTTGCTATGGCCATCGCTTCTCGCGTCCCCGCGCATCCAGGGCAGCTCTGGGCTCGATCGTCGAGAGACCAGAGCGTATCCAAGCTAGTGTCCTGGGGGTGTCTGCAGCTTACGTGCGTCTTGCTCATCGCTATGAAGGGGGTAGGTTCGCCCCCCACCCAGACATGAATCTTGACGAGCTTCCTGTGCCACCGTTTCAGATCTGCAGAACGGCACGGTCGATGGCGCTCAGCTCCCCGGCTGTGACACATGTACATGGTTCCAGGTGGATGGACGATCTGAAAACTATGTGTAACGCAGCGGAATCGCGACTCGCATTGAACGGCAAGGAATTGATCCGACCCCCGAGTGCAGGGAAGGACGGCGCCAAGGAAAACCCGCCTGCACTTCATGAAGGTGACCTGTACCTATGCGCGGAGTCCTTGAACGCATTTGAGGGAGCTTTAGGTGGTGTCTGCGAGGGGGTGGATGCCGTCTTTGGCCCCAGATCAACGAAGCGCGCGTTCGTGTGCATCCGTCCTCCAGGCCACCATTGCTCGTCGGACCATCCGTCCGGGTTTTGCTGGATTAACAATGTTCATGTAGGCATCTCCTATGCTGCTATGACCCACGGTTTGACCCACGCCGCTATCCTGGACTTTGACCTACATCATGGCGATGGTTCGCAGGAAATCGCATGGGAGCAGAACCGCAAGGCTACCGAAGCTCCCCGGGGTGCAGCAAGTTACAAGAAGACCGCTATTGGATACTTCAGTCTTCACGACATTAACTCGTATCCTTGCGAAATGGGGGAGCCGGACAAAGTGCGCAATGCAAGTGTGTGCATAGATAAAGCACATGGTCAGTCGGTTTGGAACGTTCATTTGGAGCAGTGGAAGACCGAAGTGGAATTTTGGGATCTTTACGCATCCAAGTATGCGGTACTGATCGAAAAGGCGCGTGCCTTCCTACGCTTTCACACTGAGCGTCTTGCTAGTACGCCCAATGGACCTCGACCCGCTGCAGCTATCTTTATCTCTGCGGGATTTGACGCAAGTGAATGGGAAGGGGCGGGAATGCAAAGACACAAGGTGAATGTGCCTACTGAATTCTACGCCAAGTTTACCGCAGATGTTGTGCGAATGGCGGAAGAAGAAGGCCTAGGAGTTGATGGCAGGGTCGTCAGTGTGTTGGAAGGAGGCTACAGTAATCGCGCCCTAACAACAGGTGTTCTGAGCCATTTGTCGGGGCTAGGGGATGCGACCTCGTGTCTAATGTCCGGCGGCGTGGACGACAAGGCCGATCGTTTAACGGCTGAGATGACGAACCGCTTGGGCCTGCTTGACATCTCAGCGAATGTCCAACAGCTATCAGGTCTGCCAGTTTATGACAGCGCGTGGTGGTCGCCAGCTCTGCTGGAAGAACTAGAGGCATTGGCATATCCACCGCCCACCTTGAAGCCCCGCGAGAAGTCTGCGCCAACCTACTTTGCTCCTACCCAGTCATTTACCGCTAAAGTGGTCACCGCGCCTCGAGATCGACGATCAACTGGTTCCCAGATCAGCGTGGAAACCGATGCGCCGCCATTGCCGCCTATTAGCTGGGCCACCGCAACGCATGAACTCTCAAGGATTCTTATCCCGAGCCATCGGCAAACCACAAGCTGTCGGCCAGAAGATCTCAACGCAGAAGCCACACGTTTGCGACGGGAACGTCAAACAGCCACCCAGCACACCAGCACCCCCTCGGCTGGGAATGCAGAAAGTCGGATGAAACTCCGTGCGAGGAAACCCAAACCTCCATTACCGGAAACCCCGAATGCAGAAACGTCGAAGCGGCAGGCCATTGCAAACAACCGAAGAACCACCATCGAACGTGCCAGTGACCTGCCGGATCCGTCCTTCGACAAGTCTCCTAATACGCGCAGCGCAACGCGTAGAAAGAGTGCCGCTTCCACGATAGCGTCAACCCTGGAAGCCAACGCCCCAGGCGATAAAACTGCTCGCTCGGCGTCAGCAGCCAACACGCGAAGGCCGGGTAGCTCCCGGTCTGCGACTCCGAAGCGCCCTTCGAGCCCCAAAATGGCACCTCCTGTACCTCAGGTCCCGTCCGTATACACGAATTTGTCTGCAAATGAAGAAGCGGCGATGGCGCCTGTTGAATCACGCCCGTTATCGAGGAGCATGCCAGCTACACCGCAAGATGATGTGGATAGTCTGACAGCAGGCGTTCGAAAACTCAACATCAAGCTGAAAGTGCCGTCTCCTGAGGAACATGCCGCCCGGGAAAGGGAACGCGAGCGACAGACTTCTAAGAGGGCGCCCAAGACACCTAATCCCTTTAAAAAGTCCTCAGGCACGAGGGGACTGAATGCTCCCGTCAACAAATTGGCAGCTCGTTCAAATGCGGCTCTGGTACGGCCAGAGGCAGAGAATCCTATCCCATCGCCGCCCACAACTACAGGCATGATGGCCGACGGATCCGGCATCCCGGGTGAAACTGTCTTGAATAGATCCACGGTAATGTCCACGGCGGTCCCATCACAGACACTTCCTCCAGAAATGGCAATCTCTCCTCCTATTACGCCAGGAGCCACCCATGATATTACGCGTCCTCAACATGCGTTGTATTCCCCACCAATCTCTGAGCCCTCTGTCAAGGCAGGCATCCCGGTGTTTACATCCAACAGCCCTATTCCTTTTGCACCGGCAAGTGCTCACGACAAGGCAGCTCCAAGCAAGCCACTTACTTAACTCGGCAGCATTGCTTCTGGTCTATCGTTCTTTTGGTAGAACTTAACTGTTTGATCATTGGTCCAGTTCTGATTTCCTCCGTTCCGGCAAATCTTTCTTTGTCAGATAATTTACTCACTTCTACCCTAACCCCTTGCAGGCAAGATTACATAACCCTGGGCTTCGATTTAATCTTGTTGATATACCCCTTTAGTTGTTGGAGTTTGAATCTAAGTGCTAATTTGAATTGCGAATCCATCTTGTAAATGCCCCCAATAGTCTTATCTCCGATCTCCGAGATCTGATAAAGCATTCTCCACGCCTGCGCCACCGCCCTGATGAGTAATCCCTCTCCGCATGTGCTGGTGCCTTCTAGTCTTGTCTTCTCTTCTCTTCTCCCTATAATCTTCGAATTAAAAAAGAAAACCTAAAAAAAAAAACCTATAATACCACGTCCGCCGGAGGTAGAGCGCCTCTTCTCACTCAGAACAGCTACCGACATCATCTGCTTTCACCATGGCGCCCATTTCCATGACCAAAGATCGGCTCTCGCCACAGGAGTCTTTCACGCAAATGGCCGACAAAGATCTAGAATCCATCGGGCGACACTGTCAATTCGAGTACTGCAACCAGCTCGATTTCCTTCCATTTCGCTGCGAGTCCTGTCGCGGGACCTTCTGTCTTGACCACCGCACCGAAACCTCGCATAAGTGCCCCAAAGCCGGCGACTGGGCTCGCCGACGAAACGCTCAGAACACCAGCCCGGGCACCAGTCTCCCTACGCAGAAACCCACGATCTACAACTCCGACCAATGCGCGCATCTCGATTGCAAAACCCTCATCAACACGATGAAGGACCCGGGCGTCCGATGCCCCAACTGCAACCGCCAGTACTGCCTGAAGCACCGCCTCCGCGAGGAACACGACTGCGCCAAGATCACCCCGCTGGGCGGTCGGCCGGCCGGCGCAGGCGCCAACGCCAACGAGACGCTGCGGTCCATGTTCGCCCGCGTCCGCACATGGGGCAAGGATAAGAGTCACGCGGCCACCCAGAGCCTCACCCCGACGCCGAAACCGAATAGCCCCGCGGCGCGGGCGGTCCAGCTGAATACTCTCAAGAAGGCTGCCAAGGGCGACGCCAATGTTCCCGTCGACAAACGCCTCTATCTCCACGTCGTCGGCACATCGGATACGCAGAGGGTGGACCCGCCCAAGGGCGACTTCTATTTCGATAGCCGGTGGAAGGTCGGGCGGGTTCTGGATGATGCGGCGCGGCGCCTGCGCATCGAGAACGTCAACAATCGTGCGGAGGAAAAGGAGCGACTCCGCATCTTCCATGTCGAGTCGGGCGAGTTCCTGGAGTTCTCGGATGCACTCGGAGCCGGGAAGCTGCAGTCTGGACACACCATCGTCTTGATGAGAGGTGCGGGTGTGATGCTGGGGAAGTAAATTTAGACTGCGCTCTTTTCCTATGACCTCTGCGCTTTTTTTTTTTTTTGTTTTTTATACATAGTTTGCGGGGAAGTTATGATACCATCGATTGTCGTTAGAATTATGCATCAGCATGCAGGCGTTCCGGAGCGGGTTCAGACGGACACGATGAAGAGTAAATGACGGCTCGTTGAGCAATCTATATAACTCACTCTATATATTTGTCGACCACATCCAATACATACATAAGTTCATAAATAGCCTATCTTTTGGACGAAAGGAAAAGCAAAACAAGGTATATCACGCACGAGGAGAAAAAAAAAAAAAAAAAAAAAAAAAAAAAAAAGCAAACGTAACTAAACGCTCATCTTCATCTTGATAGCCTTGTGAGGATTATACCCGACGACTTCGAAATCCTCCGGCTTCCAACCATCAACCACCCCACTACCGCGGTCATCACGAGAAATCTTCAACTCCGGGAACTCCGTCGGCTCGCGCACCAGCTGCTCCTGCAAGGGCTCGACATGGTCGAGGTAGACATGGGTATCACCCATGGCATGAACAAAGGTACCGGGGTGCAGGTCGACAGCATGAGCCAGCATGTGGGTCAAGAGGGCGTAGGAGGCGATATTGAAGGGCACGCCGAGGGCGACGTCACACGAGCGCTGGTAGAGCTGGCAGTGGAGATGGCCCTTGTGGTCCGGGCCGTCGGGGTAGGAGACGTAGAACTGGGCGAACATGTGGCAGGGCGGGAGGGCCATCTTCTTGAGGTCGGCGGGGTTCCAGGCGCTCATGATGATGCGGCGGTCGAAGGGGTTGTGCTTCAGCTTGTGCACGACCTCGGCCAGCTGGTCGACCCCTTGCCCCGTGTAGTCGGCTTTGGCGTCGACGTACTCGGCCCCGAAGTGTCGCCATTGGAACCCGTACACGGGACCCAGGTCGCCGACCTCGCGGTGGCCCAGGCCCACCTTGTCGAGGAACTCGCGGCTGCCGTTGCCGTCCCAGATCTTGACGCCTTGGTCGGAGAGCGGTTGCGACGAGGTGCAGCCGGAGATGAACCAGAGCAGCTCGGCGACGACGGCGCGGAGGAAGACGCGCTTGGTGGTCAGGAGGGGCAGGACGGGGATGGGGTCGTCGGCGGGGTTGGGGGCCGGCTTGGAGAGCGAGAAGCGGAGCTGAGGGGGTGCGAAGATGGAGCGTGTGCCTGTGCCTGTGCGGTCGGGTCGGTATTCACCTGAGGCGAGGATCGTGCGGATGAGGTTGAGATATTGGTGTTCTTCATGGTTGGGGTTGTGTGCGGCGTTCGGCGTGCTGCCGTTGCTTGTGCCAGTTGATGGTGTCTCAGCGGAGGGTGACATTTTCGCTGGTATCTTCTGTTGTGAACTGTGGGAAGGCTTTGTTTGGTATTAGGATGTGAGGTTCAATCGAGAGATTTCGGATCTTCTCCGTCAGTTGCATCAACACGCGTCCGCGACGCGGCACGTGAGCACGTGATGGGTCGTTTGCGTGGTTTGCCATTTCTATACTAGCTTTAGGGCCGAGATATTCATGCTATTCACAACGCCATGATATATGCATTAGACGCTATCTATAATGCTCAAAGACATGATATATATGCTAGTCTTCCATCAAATCAACGCCGACCCCCCGTAGCGCCCCCACCGCCCATTCCGGGTACTTAGATTTGTCTCCATACAGCTTGCTGAAGAACTCCCGTAAGAATGCCGGGAAGCGGTCCTCCAAGATAGCCTGTCGCGCAGCGCCCATCAGGGAAAGTAGATAATGAACATTATGAATTGTAAGGCTGCTCGTGGTTAGCACAAGATCCTTCAAAGGCGGGTTGGGCAATCTTACAGGTGAGCGCCAACCGTTTCCTTGGCCGCTAGATGATGTATATAGGCCCGTGTAATTCCGAGGCCACCCTGATCTCTGGGTCGACAGATGGTGCAAGTGCAGCCTTCTTGCACTGGCCTGAAGTCTTGGGCAAAAGTGTGATTGCGAAGGTTGAGAGTGCCGGAAGGGACCACCGCGTTTCCAAATCGCTAAACTCGTCAATCAAATCCGAATTCCCCAATAGCCAACGGTAGGGGTCTTACAGCTGTTCTCGTGGGCCAAACACAGTCGAACATGTCTGCACCGAGTGCAACTCCCACAATCAAGTCCTCGGGGTAGCCCTGGGAGAACGTTAGGCAGCGCTTAAAGTCGGCTGTGAAACACTTACGACACCCATCACATATCTCGGTTTCTGATCTGGAAGAAGCCCAGTACAAGTGTCGACGCTATGAACGTTAGTCGGAATCCGGTTTTGGAAGGAGGGAGTGGTTGGAGGAATAGTGACGCACACTTTGCAGAACTCCTCCTTAGCTTCACCTCCGGAGAGTCCTCCGATGGCAATGCCTGGTGTATCTCGCGCCACCATTTCAGCGCAGCATTTCCTCCGCAATTCTAGATCCAATCCTCCCTGGATGATACAGAACAGGTTTTGCCTCTCGGGGTACTTGTGCGCGTCGATGCACCGATCCAACCACCGCACCGATCGTTCCATGGCCTCCTCAATCCTCGCGTGGTCCGGCGAAGTGGTCGCGATAACATCATCGAGCTGCATGATAATATCCGAGCCTATCGAGTTCTGCAGGGAGATAGAGTGTTCCGGAGTGAGCAGCCTAGCAAGCAGTTGTTAGGTGTATCCTCGACGGTCTGGACATGGAATGGTAGGAGAGCACTGTACATAGGTGTACCATCGTGAGGACTAAGGAATCGAACACCTTCCTCCGTGACAGTAGCAAGTTTGAGCAAGGAAACCATTTGGAAACTAGGGTTCATGTCAGCTTTCGCTTCGCGCATATAACATCACCCTCTCCTCTCCAGGGTAGATCACAACCAACGCACCCGCCACTATCGGTGAGAATATTTCGATCCCAGCCTTGCAACTTATGCGCACCGCCCACCTCGTCCAAGACCGCCTGTCCAGGTTTCAACCCCAAGTGATAGGTGTTATTCAAGCATAGCATGCATCCGGTCTGCTTGAGCTGATCATACGTCAAACCCTTGAGGGACGCCTGCGTCGCAACCGGCATAAAGATCGGGAGGGGAACTGAGCCATGAGGAAGATGCAGAGTACTGGCACGAGCCTTGGTGGTCTATAGCATATTGAGGCAGCTGTTAGAACTGGTCAAGAAACGATCAACCCGAACGACAAATTCAAGCTGCAGCTTACCGAGCATTTCGTATGCAGATCGAACGTCAATGCGGAGGGCATTGGCTTGCGCGGCGCAGAAGTGGTCGGTGCAGATGTAGACATCTTTGCGATTCTTGCCCCGCTCAGGGTTACGGAGGGAGTCGTAGGGCGTAGTGAAGGGATTATCGCGCTAGAAAAACTATGCAACGTTTGACTAGTTAAACAGGGCCGAAGGCATGTCATCAAGAAGACCGTACTGGCAAAGGGTCAATTCGAGGCACGCGAGCGCAAACCGCAACAATTCATTATCGATAGAGAGCAATCAATGTCTGCCGATCTGGGAAGTTTGTCTTGTTTGGCCTGTTTGCAGTATCTATTGTGGTGCGTTTGGTAATTACGTACCATACCATACATGACGCTTCCCCACATCCCCGACCACGGAGTAAATAAACTACTGTGGAGGAATCTTGGATCTCCCTGTCTCTCGACTGAGGATTAGTGATGGCTGAGCTGGCAACAAGTCTGCAGATTCAATAGCACTCTTCCCTCCTGGAACTACCATTCGGGTGTAATATGGTCCTAATATCGTGACCAGGTCTTCCCTCGTCACCGCCTAATTATGCATGCTACCATCGGCAACCACCGAGTTTACCGAGCAAGCTGGAGAGGACCGATGATTTCACTAATTGCAATCAATGGCTCGATGGAAGCTGGAGCCAGTCAAGGCAATATACAAGCTCACATCCGTGTCCACGTAACGCGCTAATCGGAGATTGACCGACTTGAGGCAGTTGTACTCTGCGCCGTAACTTTCCCTAGTGAAGTTTTCCCGGCTAGCTGGGTTTGGTTCATGCGGGGGTTGCAAATCCTTCCTGATTCAGCGAAGTCGTCGCATAATTTAAAAGGTCCTATCACTCGGAGGAGCTTGTCCTTCACCATCCGTTGCAGGGGGGCCCGAGTTTGGCACCATGGACGAGGAAGCGAAATACCACCAAGCTGCTGAGAATGCCGATCTCGAGAGGGATTCCGAGGTATGACAACGCAGGATGGGCCCGGGTTGTCATACTAATTGATCCGGCATTAGAATCTCCACGGTCAGGACAGTGACAGCCCTCGTGAAAGAGCTTTGGTCTGGAAGCAAGATCTACGGATCCTTCCATTATGCGCCGCGATCTACCTTCTCTGCTATCTAGATCGATCCAACATTGGTAGGTCGCAAGTGCTTCATTAGCTGGCACTCCGTCCCTGCAGTGATGTCGGTGGTCAGGTAACTAATCAAAGCAACAGGAAATGCCAAAATTCTCAATGAAGATACGGGCAATGATCTCCTCACGGAGACAGGCATGACTTCGTACCAATACACGTACGTCAACTCCAGGCTGACCCCCTCTTCTTGCTAAATAAGGCAACAGTATAGCCCTCATGGTGTTTCTGATCGCATACGCACTCTTCGAGGTTCCCTCAAACTACTTCCTGAAGAAGCTAAGACCAAGTGTAGGCACTGATCCTGTTGTAAGAACCTGAGCACAGATACTCACCTGACTTAGAAATGGATTGCTTTCTTGATGCTCGGCTGGGGGGCATCCACCATGGGCTTGGGTGGCGCAAACAATTACGCGCAGGTGACTGGTATTCGTTTCTTACTGGGAGGTACCTAGATGCGTAGAGCCCTCGTGAACAATTTACTTCATAGACGAACCCTAACTTATACACTCTCAGTTATGGAAGCGGGTCTCTTCCCTGGACTGGTTTACTACCTGACCTTCTGGTACCGGAACTCGGAGCGCTCGATGCGCGTGGCGCTCATTCTCGCATCGGCTACCCTGGCGGGAGCTTTCGGCGGAGCAATTGCCTACGGTGTCGGACACATGAATCAAACTCACGGTCTATCAGCATGGCGATGGTTGTTTATCATCGAAGGGGCCCCTTCCTGTGCCTCTGCCTTCCTGGTCTGGTTCTTTCTTCCCGATTACCCCGAGACGGCATCATGGCTCAGTGCAGAGGAAAAGGAGCTCGCTATGCAGCGGCTGCAGGATGAAGGCTCAAAGGGGGCTGCGCATGCCATGACCTGGGCAGATGCGAAGGAGGTCCTAACGGATTGGCGGTTATACGCTCATTATATGGTGCGTCTTGTCATCTGTGTCCTAGAGCATGTTTCCGACAAGGATCTGACCTAACATGACCTTTACCTTTGCATAGATCTATTTTGGCATTTCCACCCCGTTTTCCAGCCTCTCACTCTTTACACCCGCGATTACGAGTGGGCTCGGGTATACCAGTTTGCGCGCTCAGCTCATGACAGTACCGCCATGGGCGGTAGCATACGTAGTCACCACGGCGGCAGCCTGGTCCGCAGATCATTTCAATAGGTACGCCGTGTGTATCCCCAGACGTGGCAGGTTCAATTTGGTCTAACTTAGAGCGACTGGTCTCTAGCCGTGGTCTTCATTCAGCAGCATTCTCCTTCATCGGGGCAATGGGGTTCCTCGCATCTGCCGTTCTCCCACCAGACGCATACCTCGTACGTTGACCGCGCTTCCTCATTAACTTCTGTGGCTCGTACTAAAATATACTAGCACCGCTACGGCTGTCTCATAGTAGCCACCAGTGGCGCCTTCGCCTGTATTCCGCCTCTTCTCGGCTGGCTCTCCTCTAACCTTCGCTCAACAGCCGGGACTGGCCTTGCGATCGCCCTGAACGTATCGGTCGGCGCTCCGGGGCAGATTGTGGGCGTGTGGATCTATAAAGCCAACGAAGCGAAGAGGGGTTATCCGACTGGCCACTGGACCAACGCGGCGCTGCTTCTGTTTGTCTGTGTCGGTTGTCTCTTGTTGCGCGTATATTATGGATGGAGGAATAAACGGAGAGGAACGGGGGATAAATTTGCATATTAGAGAGAAGAAAAGGGGGGGTTGTAAGAAAGAAAAAAAAAATATCGGTCGTGCTTTGCGCCTTTTGTTTCTTTGTTCCTTCGTGGTTTGGGGGGGGGGAGGACCGAAACAATGGAAGCTAGAACCGCCGGATCGGCAGTGTATAGTAGCGGATGAGGGAAATTAAAGTCGGACGAACCATGGTACGCGGCACGTGAGCAGAGAAATAAGGTTAAGCTCAAGACATGACACGGCGCGATCCTGAAACTTGATCCAACGAGTTGGGTCTGGACAAGAGTGGTTCAAACGTGTATACAACCTTGTCCCGGCCTAGATTTGTACCTCAGCAGCTGTCCACCTTCACCCTTCGTATATCTCGTCAAATCCCGGAGGCAAATCTAGAGCGCAAAGTAGACACCCAGAAACGATACTGGATGAATTATTTTTTAAAAAATAAATATAAATATAAAATAAAATAATTAATAAAATGAGGGGTAGAAGACGGTATCGATCCACAAACCGAATTACCTTCTAACCCACCTTAAGTATCTCCCAAGGTAACCACTACTCCGTACTTGTGTTGTGGTAGGAATCAGGCTCGCTTGTCTGCTGCTATGGTTGTTATCCACGAGGGATAGGCATGGAAGTCCGGATGCAAAAAAACACGAGAGAAAGCGTGTATTTGTAGAGTACGACGATTGAAGAATAAAGAGAAAAATTCAAATTTGTTTGTTGTTCGTCATAAGGTAGAATCTGATCTGATCCGTCTGTCTGTCTGTCTGTCTGTCTGTCTGTCTGTCTGTCTGTCTGTCTGTTTGTTTGTCTGTCTGTCGTGAAATATAATCGTGCCACAATACCCGTACGCAACCTGGACCGTTTGTATAATAGACAAGGGAAACAAGGGAGATAAGAAAAGCTAATCGAAAAGAAAAGAAGAAGAAGAAGAAGAAGAAGAAAGAAAGAAAAATAATACCAGCACACCCAAACATACCAGTCAACTGGGCCATCGTGTGAGAAAGCTTGCACCCGGAAAAAAATTCAAGAAAGCTACAACAGGACAGTTGAGTAAAGCAGGGCAAATTAATTGCAAGCATTCTCGTGCCCAGAGTCGTAACACCACCAGGGGAAACGCGGCATCTGCATCCAAATACTCTGTATGCCCCTAATCGTACCCCCCACCTCGGTGTTGCCAAAAGGTCTGCTGTGTTAAATCAGAAACGCATAGATCGACAGCCGGGAATGTTGTACACGTCTGCGAAACCCGAGTAATCGGCGGTAATTCGAAGAGCGTTTTCGAAACTGAGAGGAAGAAGGAAGGGAGAGGGGGAAAGAAAAACCGGAATGAACAGCAAGGTCGAAGCATCGTCAGAAAAGAAGTTACAGCCACCCAGAAAACCAGGGGTGTCGCCCAGCGACCCGCGTCAAGGGTGAATTTGACCCGGGTAACGGGTGTTACGGGATGTCTGAGGACTGAGTATATTCAGGGCTTTTTCCGCAGCATCCTCTATGGCATTATCGGAATATTTGCCGTCGTACCAGAATCGAGCCGGATACTGCACCCCGTCGATTGTAGCGATGCAGGTCCAAGCCGTGCGGCCACCTGAGGGAAAAAATGGCAACCCCGTTAGTGTATGGTACCACCGAGTTTCAATTGCAAAAGTCGGTGAAGTCGACTCCACTCTGTGCGTGCCGAGACAGTATTCGACAACAAAGAGGGCCTTCTCATACTAGCAGAATACAACGGCAGAGAGGGGTATAAGAGAAAGACAACGGAAGGCAAGAGATCATACCTCGTCGTTCGGTGAAGAGGCGAAATAGGGGCTTGGAGCGTTTATGGGCCTCGCAGTGCTCTTGTCGGGAACCATTAGCATATGAAAGGAAATGATATCCTTTGGAAGGAATGGCTGCAAAGTGGGGCATACCCTCAAGTTGTTGCTGCCAAGTCGTCCGAGGAGCACTCGCATTATTTGCTGGCTGCACTGGCATATTGAATCACGGTTCTCTGGACAGAGGGACGAGGCACGTTTTGCAGAGTTGAACTCTTGGGCTCTTCTCCGGGAAACGAAACACTGGTTCTCTCAAGAATCCGATCAGGGGTCACGGGTCAGGGTGGAGTGCGGATTGCCTTTGCGCAAGAAACGGAGATACGTAAAGGAAGAATGAAACCAATTGACTTGTTGGAAAACTTTTTCCTGGTTTTCCCTCTTGTTAAACACTTGACCTTCTTTATCCTCTTGTCAATCCAAACAATCTCGATAGATATGGGAGGCGGGGAGTCATATAAACTGTGGGCCATGCTCCTTTTTTTTTTATAAAAAAAAAAAAAAAAGAGGGAAAAAAATTGGGAGGGAAAAAAAAAAAATACCCCCCTCCAAAGCGTCACTGTGCAAGACAGTTTTTGGCGTGACAAACACGGAACCTAATCAATAAAGCTAACAGGCGGGCTTATGCATGTCGCTGTGGACATGGCACAGCGTCAGCAAATTTCCCACCTCCCTTATCCTCCAACTAAGAAACGCCAGTTGCATGGAGAACATGCGGATCATCTTGAGGCTGCAAGCTGGAACGGCCCGGCGCACGCCGACTGAGAATGTACCCTTGAAGAAACGCCAGAGTACCAGGATAGAAGGCCACTAGTCTCCACACACGCCAGATCCATGGACTGACGCAAAGGCCCAGCGAGACACTTGTTGTACAAAAGCGACGTGCCACTTCCGATACGTTGGACAAGTCAGAGTCCTTCATCTGTTCCCGGGGTTGTGCCATGGTGGCCATTGAATTAGCGAATTTTTTTTTTGTTTCCCTTGTCTGGTAAACTGTGTTTTACTATCGGGTACAAACCAGCCGTTTGCCTCCTGAAAGCTCCTGAGGAAGGGAAGGAAAACCCCCCTCTCTGGAACGGATGGATAGTGGAGGGGTATGGTCCAAGGTCGTTGCCCAAAAGCGGAGAGGGGGGCCCATAGGATAAAAAAGCAACGAATTGAAAGCAGGATCGGTTCATGTCAACTGGGTATTCGAGCCACTCATAGAGCTGGAGGCGGGACCACAGGCCACAGTGCCAGCTCATCAATGACTTAATCAGGAATCAGGAATCCGAAACGGCTCAGTAAAAGAAAGAAAAAATTCCCCTCCGTTCCTCAGCCCTGCACTAAACAGCCATAGACCAGGCCGCTGTGCATGAGCAATTGCTTCCCCGGGGGGGAGCAGGGGTTCACAAGGGACCACGGACTCGCGATATCAATATCACAGTAGCAAGAGCCAGTTCAACAGTTGACCAACGCGTACACGATCTATCTGCAGGAAGCACAAGCGGCCAGCGAAGAAGGAATTGGGTCTGAATGTACCAGTCCCGGTGGAGAAAGGGCCATGATTCGCTGCATTCCTCTGGCACCATATTGTTGGGCATACATACGTGCATCTGTTCATTTCCCACAGTTGTGGCCACTCTCGACATGAAAGTTGCAGCCGAACGAAGGGCAGGAACAACAAATAGAAATCAGAGGTCAATAAATAATTCGTCGAGACGGCACGTCCACACCTCAGGAACCTGCATGAAAAGGAGGCGCGATTGATAATCGGCGTCAACGGGGAAAGGGTGAAGCGCATCCTCGAAGCCTCTGGAAGCCGTTGATTCGCGCGGCGCCATGTTTGGGACGAGCCTCGATCTGCCCCGCATCGGCCTCATCGACAAGCTTAATTGATCTCAGTCCACTCCCACGGGTAGCGAAAGGCTAGAACCCTCGTCCAGACTTTCTTTCACCCAAGGCAAGCGCTAACTCGAGCTTCCGTGTCTTCCGCGGCGTCCATGCTGGTCCAATCAATCCAGTCCCCGTAGCAATCGCCCAATTCAGAACATCGTACTTCATTTCCCCCTCCTCTTGTGTCCCGAGGCCAACATCATGGGGCCTGACTCGCTCCAGCGCAGACAGGAGGACAAGTCAGGAAAGCCTTAACGTTAAGAGACCATGGCAGCAGCTGGCACGAAACGACTAACCGTTAGGTTCATGGTACATGCATATCCCCCAACCCCCCGACACGCATGAACACTAGGGATGGAGCCACACATACACACACGCACAAAATGAAGCCATACATGTTGATATTCCAAGAATAGTTATTTTGGGAGAAAAAGAATCAAAGTTTTAAGGTAGGTTAATCTCACAGAGAACAAGCATTAAGAAAGACGAAATGCACAAGCGAGGCCGGGAACCCAAATCCAATCCAAAAAAAAACCTCCCATTCGCTTTGGAACGCACACTACAGTTAAAATCACGCCGCTTTGAGTTTTCATTGCCGCCCAATCATACTCGTGACAAAAATACACCAGGATATCAACCCAAAACCAAGTTTTCCCGGAAGAAAGTGAGGAGAAGCGAAACATGGCGAAAGAGAAAGGAGAAAGAAAAAAGAATATTTTCGTGTCATATGCAAGCTCATCAAGATCATCAGAAACATTGGCATCAGACAAAAGCGAATACAGCAAGTGCAACCCTTCCAGCTGACATGGCAACACCACGTCACGACTCCCACCACGACTGTCCTCCCCCCAGGCAGTGTGCCACTCACGCTCATGCTGAGCCTCGTCGATGGAACACCTCACTCAGAAGCCGCCGAGGCCCCATGAACTCCATGCTCCGGGTGAGTGAGGAGCGCCCGGGGAACATGAGCTGGCCATGTTTCCTTGAGTGCCACCGGCGACGGATAGAGTCATCAACTAAGACCATCAAACCTGTAACCACGATCATACTGGAACTCACATTAGTAGCCACCCACAGCTCATCGTTTGCTCCACGACGCATCACTTACTCGGCAACATCTGGCATCTTTTCATACACGGAGTCCTCGCTGATCCACATGGAGGATGGAGGAACCCAGCCACCTTTGGCCTGCTCCTCCACGGCTTCCATTGGGGTCAGGATTTCGGGCATCAGGTGGGCGATCGTCTTGGATGTCCGCAAGTCAATCAGATGAAAACCTACCTCCTGCAGGTCTCCATCTCTTCGGTGTTCTCGCCGCCATTGATATCTTGTACACCAATATTCGAACTCATATCGCTTAGACAAGCCGGCACCACGTCTTCGGATCTCGACGTGGGCGTAATTCGAGAATTCCAGCATGACTGCGTCAGCTAGAGGTTGATCGCGACTATCCTGGCCATCGAAGTCTTCGTCGTCTTCGTTGACCGACTTCTGGCCCAGGTCCTGTCGCTTACGCTTGGAGCTATGCGTCGAATGGTCACCACTCGAGCCTGGGCGTAAGCCAGCCAATGCACTGCTTAATGATCGTTGGAAGCCCGGCCGCTTGTTTGGGCCCCCGGACGATATCGGTCTTCTTGCTGAGTGACACACCTCGCGCTCGGAATTGCGACAGTACCGGCGAAAAGAAAACTCCCTTGAGTACAAGTCGTACATACGGAGATGAAAAAGTATAACGGCCTGCTGATAGCCATCTCTTCGTGGCGCCAGAGTGTGCACGCGAAGGTTCATGTTGCCATCCAGCGTCGTATCGTCATGGCTGATCAGAAGCCGTCGCGACGATGGGAACAATTTCCCAAAAGTTGAAGAATTCGAGGGAATGGCATCTGAAGGGAAAATATCCGACTCTGCCCCGCGAGTAACAACCTCATAGTGCGGCTTCTTCGGTATTTCGTCGTCGTGGTTCGTCGAGGCGTAGGTTGATACTGAATCTTTAGGGTCCATGTTCTCTCTCCGCTTTGATGTGGGCCGTTCGCTGTAGATCGTAGGGGCCGTGCTTTTCGAACGATCGGAAGCATCACTGTAAGTGGAGCTCGAGCTTCCTCCCGTCCGCTGTCGCGAAGATACACTGGAAGATCCCATAGTGGCGTTGCGTCGATGCGGAGACACGGTCCGTAATAGAATGAGAGAAAAATAAGATATATATCACAGGTAGACAATGCCGCTTTATCTCAGTTGCACGGCAGGTCAGGTTCGGTCCGGGGACAGTAAGGTAATCGGGAAGAGTTTATCCTTGTGATAGGAAGAAAACAGGAAGACGGTGAAAAGTGGACTAGATCGAAAGGAAACGATATGATGATCAATATGTACTCCCGATCGCAAGGCCCATTCCAGTGCAGGTGGCTGATGGCGATTACTCAGGTTGGGAGACCAGGGTATGACCTATCAATCAATGACGGGGATCGCCTAGGGCTTACACCGAATACCGGCAACACGAGGCAGAACTTTCCAACGATCAACAGGAGCAGGGTGATGCGGTCATACGATAAGGAGTTCGGTAGAAAGGAGGCACGGAATTAAGAAACCCAACGAAGGAATACCATCGTCAAGTAAGGTGATCAGAGTCTCCGGTGAAGGAGGGGATTGTCAAGAGAGGGGTCAGTGTACATAGCAGATGACGCCAAGCTAGACTCCAGAAGCCTGGGTCTGCGATCAAGGAACGACTGGGAAATTAACAGAGTCCACGACAAGGCGGGGCCCAGAGACAAGGTATACGCGTGGCGCAGGGAGTCCAGTTGAAACTGTGGGAGGGCAACGAACGAGAATGGATCAAAGGGTTGAATGCGGTGGAAACGGAGGGAGCCACGTTGCTGACGCTTGTTAGTTCCTGAAGTTGGAGCACTGTTGATCAATGATGCCTTACTCTGGTTCAATTATTTACTTACGGTGCATCTAGCGGAGGATTATAAAAATAAAATAAAATAAAATAAAATAAAAATAAAAGTAAAAATAAAATATAGGTTATAATTTTTGGTTTCTCTCTCCTTTATGATTCCCAAATTATGAGCAAGAGGGACAACAACACCCGGAAGAAGAGAACAATTCATCGGGAACAAAGAACGAGAGACAACAGTTCACTCGGACGAAAACGAACAGTTGATTGTCGGTACAGATTCAGAGTACCTAATGACTAACACCGCACATGTTTACTTAACTAACTACTAGTAGTAGGTACAGTACCTTAAAAATTCAAAGATCAAAAAGATCCAAATCAAAATATAATTCTAGAAAACATGTGTTTATTGGTTGAATGACCTCATCGCCTCATCTTGGGAATTTTAAACTCTCCCAGGGAAAAAAAAAACTCAGCCATCTAAGTTTTCTTTTTACTACAATAAAGACCCGATAGGGTTGCCATAGCCCTCAATTGTTGACTAAATATAGTGACATATCAACATATCATGGTAATGTTGCACTGAGCGTGAAAGATAGGAAGAAAAAGTTCAATACACAAATAAAAATAGAAAATCAAAATAAAAAATAAAAATAACCAAAAGAAAAAAGAAACTTGAACCCCGCACAGTTGGATCTCCTGAACGCCCGAGTACCCGATCTATCTACGACTGGAAGTAAATACGATAGAAACAAACAGATAAAATAATAATAATACAAACAACACAGCCTAACCCCACTATTTTCCGGTTCAAGATACCAGCCTAACCAGAGAACGAAAATGGGTCGCAACCGTTTCTTTCCCAGATCTACCTTTAGGCCGACAATTATGGACCTTCTCACCGATAACTAACTAACTAACTAACAATGGAGATCTCTCTGAGTAAGACGGCAAGAAACTGATTTCAATCCATGTAAGGGATCGTGACCATAGGCAATGGCCGTGTGGCTTGCGATATTCTCCGGCCCACCAACTGAAAGCGATCCTAACACGGAGTAATCCGGGAGATCGCTGGTTAACCACAACGGTATACCACCACATATATTCTCCTCCCTTCATGGAAATCCCAGGATGATTGATTGCATGATGCGCTTCGAGATCTTCTGACCAGCAATACGCCCCTGCAGTTTTCTCCTGTGCCTCCGACCACCCGTTTCACATGCAGTGCAAACGGGAGGCGATACCGTTATCGTATCACTGGGGAAACCTTCGAGATCATGCACTTGGTCCCTATCGGATAATAACATTATCCCTCACCACGGAAATAGCCTCTAGAGAATCACTGACACCCAAGAAGCATAACGGGAAATAAACAATTGGGGCACTTCCCGTACCAGGGAAACCAACTGGGGCCCCGGCTACTAGTAGTCGGATCGGACCGAAGCCAGGCCAGTGCTTCCACATTATTCAAATTCTTAGTAACTACCACGATGTTAGATGGCAATCACAGCGTCTCTTTGATTTGTTCTATTTTCCGTTCTATCTTTTTCTGTTTCTTCTGTGCCGCCCATCTTCACTAGCCCGAGTCAGGCATTCCAAGGCATTTGTACCGGTGGTAACCTAAGCTCAATATTGAGACATCCGAGGTATGTACATATGTACTATGACTCCAGAGTACCTGCTTTCACAGTGTAGCCCCAGAAAGCCAACAGCCTCCTATCCCCGTTGAGTATTAGCCTCTGAGCTTGGGAATGTCTCCCTGGCCACTGATCCGGGCGAGATATCCTGTTTGACGGAGCCCGCTCATACCTATGACGCAATGAAAATGTACTACAATGAAACAGGAAGAACAGACTTCCAAACGCCTTTACTGATATCATTGCGGTAACTAGTGGGTAAGCAGACCAACACCCTGGTCTCATAAGAATTATGGCTCTCCCACATCTTTGTAAGGTGGATGCTGTTCCTGCGCCCATCTAAGAAGACGCTATTCCGGCAGAGATGACGGGGATTTTCTGATACTCGGTAGAACGAGCCATGTCCTGCCAATGATAGCGTATGGTTTCCACGGAGATTCTAGGCCTGCTCTGGAACTCCATAGTAGGTAATACAGTATATCATTTCCTAGTTTGAGCGGCCACAAGCCGTATACAACCAGACACAGAGAGTTGTGGTATTGCAGTATAATTAAGTCATTCTACATCGTCACATCCACAACCCATTCTAGTGGCGTCGACAAGATATATGTAATCCTACTCCAAGGCTGTCCAATGTCAGCCTCCCCATGCTCCTATGTAATTCGGTAATTCTGGTATATCATTGAAAATTAGAAGATGAAAAATAGAAGTGTGGTTGTCGCACTGGGTGACGACAGCAGGCGTACCCTTGTCAAACAAGGTCTGCTGTGGATGTGAGCCATTTCTACTTCCGCGAATACTCAGTAGATCGGATATAGTTCAGGAGGCAAGGGGGAGGTTGGCAGATGGTGGCGACAAATAGACCGGTCTAGAGATGCATCAGTGCCTTGGGGTTCGATAACAACCTCAGTTTAGGTTCATGCAGTCGGTATCATATTCAGTGAGTAGGAGTTCTTTGGCTATCTAAGTATTATCACCTCACACCAATCCCTTGGCAGACTTAATGCAAGGATCTAGATCATGATTCACCTAGAAGAAGGTCCACTGTCAATCCAAGAACGGGGGAAGCAGGGCTGGGATCATGCTTGGGGTCTATGTGGTCATTATACATGTCTTTTGAGATCGGGGTTGTCCAAAAGGTTCTTGTTTTTGATGGGTTGCAGTCAATATCTGAATGACAACGTTGGACTGGTTTGCAGGGAAAGAAGATGGTATGTTCTGGTCCGCTTCTCAAGTGATACAACCAGATACATAATTGGAGAATACCTTGGTGTTCGGACTGGCATACACGTCGATCAACCCACATGACTGTAGTGTATGATATGTCGTATCGTATGAAGTATGCTTATTTACTCCAGTGGAGAACGACGAATAGCAAAATGAATGGTTAGATATTCTTGATTCTTCTATGTCTTTATCTACAATTATATAAGCACAAAGGGCTTGTAGCTCAGTGGTAGTAGCGCCCGCTTTGCATGCGGGAGGTCAGGGGTTCAATCCCCCTCGAGTCCACGCTTAAATAGCATCTTTTTTTTTGTCTTTTTGGTGTCCACCACTTGACGACATAAAGAAGAACAAGGAACGACGAGCAAGTCAACACAGCCCAAGTAAGGTAGGTAGCCTGCGGAGTTCTGTGTACGCATGAACCGATATCAGCCTTTCGTTACAGATTTTGTGCAATTTGAAGAAGCTCAACCCCCGAGCCGTCTATGTATATAGCATTAGTGCTTCATCCAAGTGTCGATGTGTCGCCCTAGACATATGCAGCAAGCGGCCCTACTCTGGATGCTGAATGACATCCTACTGAAGAACGAGACGAAAGGGGGCGAGGCGAAGTGTTGTGGTAATAAATAAAAGAAGTGCAAACATGATAAAAAAAGACAAAAAAAGATGCTATTTAAGCGTGGACTCGAGGGGGATTGAACCCCTGACCTCCCGCATGCAAAGCGGGCGCTACTACCACTGAGCTACAAGCCCTGTTGACGCTTCTACTAGAGCAAAATAGACACTGTGACGGCGTCGACAATTTGATTCTTCACTTCTATATCTCCAATCTGTTTAAAAGAGATATCCCCTTCTTGCTTTCATACAGGTAAAATTGTTTGGCAATTCTACAGTATGTATTGAATGATGTCCTCTCCTCGGCAAATTGCCTCCCGGTGCTAGATTATGAATATGCCAGTAGTCAAGAGGAGGTATGTTCATGCGCAGTGATATATTTCTAGTATATTTCAAAGCACCGGTCCGTCACCAGGGAATATATAACGATCAAACCGTCAGTATATGCCCATCGCTGGGATATTAAGTTGAATTAGAATCCAGGCAACCTTACCGCACCCAAGAAACTTCATAGATACAAGAAAAGATAAAAGTTTCTATCAAGACAACATAATATTCTAGCTGTCTTCCCAGCATAGACATCCACAAAGCGTCTAATCCACATCGACCAAACGAGTTTATAATACCTAAGGAATAGACCTAAGCTGAACCTAGGCTTACCGTTTACTGAGAAATATCCATGAAATCTAGTAGAGTCACAGGCCATAAGGTCTGTACCCAGGATGGACTGTATGACCACAACTCGTGCCCATGACAGTACCCCGATCTGGACTGAGCATAGGTATATTTATGTGCACACCATAGCAGCCACAGCCAAACGGACTTGCTACAGACACAGTGTAAAAGATGAAGTGTGATGGGCCACCATATGCCCTGGAGCATGTCGATGACTGCACCAAAGGATTCTCGTGGTACCCCATTGCTACGAGCACTAGATATGAGAGTTTCTAAGCAGTAGCTTAGGCAAGGCACAGAGGTTACCCGGCCATATAGGATGGGGAGAGCGCTGGTTGATGGCTACTAGGCGAGGTGGAATTATCATATATTCCCAGGGCAGGAACGGATTCCCAAACGACAGATCGACGTCGATTTGTATACCATACCGCACTTAGGTACAACCCGCTAAGTTCGAACTCCAATCTCCAAGCTTGGATCATCTAAGGCAACGCCAATTATTTACCGGTAATAAGGATCGAGAAATCTACAATGAAAAGAGGGCCCTCGGTCCTACAAGCTCATACCTGCGCCCACAGAGGCTGTGGAAGAGCATCGCCTGGTTGGATCATCGCCTCCTGATGGCAAGCAGGCTGGGTTACAAGCCCAGCGCGACTTCCCGGAGCCGGAGGATAGAACCCAACGTATGCCTCGCGGCGGGCGGGTTCCCCCACAGTGACGGACCACGTATGTAAGCCGTAGTATGAAGCAATGGAGTGGACGAGCCAGCGACTAACATAATGGACGGGTAAGCGTTGGCCCAGAAGTGCAAGAGCAAAAGGTAAAACGTACCCAAATCCAGAGGCCCGATCATCTACTAGGCTCTCAAAGACTAACTTCTCCCCATCCCGTTCTCTATTGGCATGCATAGCCTCCCGCATTTGCTGCAGCTTTTGCTTGCGTTCCGGGGAGTCGTGCATTTGTCCATTTCTTCCCACAAATACAACCTCGTCCTCGGAGTCCTCGTCAGACGATACTGGCGCGTCTGCCAGGCCATCCCTCTGAAGCAAGAGTTGCTTCTCGCCCCATCTCTGGATGAACTGTCGGATATCCTCCTCAATATCCTGAAGCATACCCCGTGCAGCACGCGCATGCTTCAGCTTGAGGCGGAGATCCTTCGGAACACGATGCTTCTCACCCTTTGTGCCCTTTGCGGTCTGCTTCGATGAGGTGTGATCTATGTGCTTGTAATGGACGTCCCAGAGAGGAGCGAGGTAGTACGGCATCGGGTCGTGTCGAGTGTACGTTGGCTCCACTGCCCAGTCCCTGGAAGATGGTGGTTCGGCCCAAGGATTGTTCAGGAGGCGATCTTTTGTAAAAGGGCCCGTCAGTACAACATTGTCGAAGACACTCGCCACCCGGGATCCGAGGTGCATATAAAGTCGCGTAGAGCAACTCTTAAAAACCGCAGTCGGTCAAGACGTACCATTCTCCCAGCGTTGCCTGCGACGACTTCCATCCTTGCCCTTCAACAACGCCTCGCGCCTCTTCAGACTATCACGACGGAGTGGTTCTCGACGCCGGAAACTGACCGAAGGGACCTGCGGTGCCTGGGTGGAAGTCTGACCTAAGAGTTTGACCCTCGGAGCAGATGTATTCCCCGTGCTGGGGACTGGGTCATCCAGTGGGATTGAAAGTGTAACCGTGGTCCCTCGCAAGGCGCCGCGGGTGGAAGGGGACTCGGGACCAGCACAATGCTGGTCGGCCGCGGGAACGGAATCCGAGATGGTCAGGCTTTCCAGATGCGCAGCTGCCTGTTCAGACCAAGCTGATATTGCCCGGGTTTGCTGCGGGGACAAAGTTCCCTGGGCATTCGATTGAGGGCGCAATGTCGGGTGGATGGCCATCGCGCACGAGACAGACCTCGGTAGGACCGGTTGGAGTCTGGAGGGGAGGACGATAAGTCGTGGATATGTCGGTGGAAAAAAAAAAAAAAAAAGACACGAGGAGGGTAACGCGATTCCTATAGAGTCTACCTCTCGTATATACTGCTTCTATAAGCGGAGTTGAGAAGGAGCGAAAAGGAGGAGAGGGCGGGGGAGTTTAAGGCCAGAGAAGGAGATAAGAGAGATACGGACCTGGATCGTTCGCGCTGGCGTCCCGGTCGCGTCCGGCGATCCTGGATTATTACGGGTTGAGTCACGATGGGGCACGAGCCCTGAGAACTGGACCTAATTGGGTAAGAGCCTCAAGCCCTAGCCCTAGAGAACTCTAAGGTTTCCCAATCAGGATTTCTGGTCAGCGTGATTCATTCATGATTGAATGTGAGTCGTATTATGAAGTCAACCTGGGTTCGGTCCCTATACGGGACCGTAATACATTCATTACAGTTGTACTATTTTGAGGAACCAATTTTGGCGAATCAATCCAATCATTATCACAATTGCGGTGTGCAATGTGGTACGTAGACAGCGCTTCAACTACAAAGCTGACCGGTTTGGTCAGTATCCTCAGGTATACCTTGAAGGTCCCCTTACTGCTAACATTATGTTGACTGAACGGACGAATGCTGATATGATGCCCGGTTCCATGCTTCCCCCAAATAAAATCAGACCTGTCAACGGGGCACGAACCACTCCTGTCTTTGGAGGTGGGACTACGCAGTCCAGGGCGCTATTCGGCGTTCTTCCAAGCTCGGAGGCTGCAGGTACAACTCCTTCAGAACAAGAGACAAATGAGACCGCTCCAAATGAAAGCCCCATTAAACGTTTGCCTGATCTGAAAGAGAGCTTGTGAACGAATCAAAATATCTAGTATTTCTATCTTGAAAGGTTGTTTTTTCCTCCTTCCATCCTTTCTACCTCACTGCCTTTCTTTTATTTCGAGCGATTGAGCTTCTTCAAGTGAATGTCAAAAGTCAAGACCAGACAAGACATAGTGGATAGTTAGTTACTGGGCGGAGTTGACGGGGCCGACTGCGTACCGCCACGACAAGCTCCTGTTATTTCCGACGCGGTCGCAACGCGGGGGTGAATCAAAAGATTATTAATAGCGTTCGGGTCTTGGCTGAACAGGGCAATGCAAGTTGTTGTTTGTATGCGACATGGTTAGAGGAGAACTGGACTAGAACGAACGAGCAAACGAGGCATGGCCACCCAATGATCTCAAAGATGCCATTAAGTGTCTTGTTTGTACGCCGTGACGAAGGTCAGGGCAGATACTACCTTGCAGTTCGCGGGTTAGAGTACGGAGTAGCATATTGGTAAATAAATCATAAATCATCCAGCTTAATTCTGGCATGGCTTTTTGGACCCTCCTCTGCCCAGTGTCCAGTCTCCACCGCAGCGGCTAGTGTGCCTGCGCCTTCTGTCATTAAGTTTGGAGAGTCTCAATTTAGGTGCCCTACTTTTTGTGCTACTACCTAGTACTACCTTACCGGGCCTTATAAGTATTCTACGATGTCACCCCCAAACGTATCTCTGACGCATGAAAGATCCGAGCTAAGCTATCAAACCCCGTTTCCACCCCCCCGTCATCATTGTTGTTATTCGGCATTTATAGGGCAGTAGTCAGCAGCGCGTGACTTGCACTCTGCTCCTGCTTATCATTTCCCCATTTCTCCAACGCCTGCACTCGATCGATCATTTACATCACTGCTGGAGAGAGAGAGCGGGTACCCCCTTCACTGTCCCCTCGAATACTCCTCTGAATACATATTCTCTCCCGTCCCTTCCTTTTTCTCTAGTGATTCAGTCTTTAATTCCCTAACAATCACGCGCCCTCCTCCTGTATCGACGGTCATTTCATTGTGACGATTTTTTCGCAATCAGTATGAAGATCCGAGCAGCTCTTGCGCTGGGCGCAACGGCATCCGCAGGCGTTCTCGCCGCCGTAATCCCACAGCAGGCACTGTTGAATAACCCACAAGTCCATTACGAAAATACAAAATACCTTATAGAGTTGGCCCCGTATCAAACAAGATGGGTGACGGAAGAAGAAAAATGGGCTTTGAAATTGGTATATCTCCACGATTCGGTTATGCGTTGTGGACGGTTCGGTTAACACTGGCTTAGGATGGCGTGAATTTCATTGACATCACTGAGGAGCGAAACCCCGGGTTTTACCCCACACTGCACCAGGCTAGTAACGTCCGGTATCCGACGAAGATGGATCATGTCGATGAGGTTGTCGGCTTGACCCGCGGCCTCACCAAGGCCAACATGGAGCGGGATCTGGAGAAGTTCACCTCCTTCCATACCCGCTACTACAAGTCCCAGACCGGAATCGAATCGGCGACGTGGCTCTACAATCAGGTTCAGACGGTGATCGAAGAATCTGGGGCAGCGGAACATGGCGCGACCGTGGATCGGTTCGCCCATCCGTGGGGCCAGTTTAGCGTTATCGCTCGCATTCCAGGCAAATCGAACAAGACGGTCGTATTAGGCGCCCACCAAGACAGTATTAACTTGTTCCTCCCGTCTATTCTGGCTGCCCCGGGCGCCGATGACGACGGCAGTGGAACAGTCACGATCTTGGAGGCGTTGCGTGGTCTGCTGCAGTCAGACACCGTGGCCCAAGGTAAGGCGCCGAATACGATCGAGTTTCACTGGTACTCGGCAGAGGAAGGCGGCATGCTAGGCTCCCAAGCGATCTTCTCTCAATACAAGCAAGAAAGACGCGACATCAAGGCTATGCTCCAGCAGGACATGACCGGTTACATCCAGGGGGCTTTGAATGCTGGTCGTAAAGAAGCCGTGGGCATCATGATCGACTATGTCGATCGAGGTCTGACCCAATTTCTTAAAGACGTGGTCACTGCCGTAAGCCCCTCTCACCCCCCCCCCCCTTCCACTCATACGGCCTCGCTGACAATGTCTCCCAGTATTGCAATGTGGGGTATCTTGAGACGAAATGTGGCTACGCTTGCTCCGACCACACATCAGCAAGTAAATATGGCTACCCCTCCGCCATGGCTACTGAGGCTGAGATGGAGAACACCAACAAGAGGATCCACACGACGGATGACCGGATTAAATACCTGAGCTTTGACCATATGTTGGAACACGCGAAGTTAACTATTGGCTTTGCTTATGAGTTAGCATTTGCTTCGTTTTAAGGTTGGGGAGCGTCTCTAATTCTTAATCTTGGTTATGAATCACGACTTATCTCTAACAGCCCATGAGTGTAGTAGCCTTAGAAAATTGATCTTTATCTACTTAGTAAACTACTTTCAGGATTAGTCAATGATTGGTGGCGAGATATATAGCAAGTTGGGACCATGCATTCCAAGAATGGATTCCGGGTTAATTCCCCAACATACTCATTCTGGACACTACTAGTAGTAGGCAGTCCTCATGTTTAACATGCGACTGAATGCCAACTCCAGAAACGCAAGGGTTTGTCACATGTCCCATTCCACGTTCGTTCTTCCCTTCTCATTGCAGTACGAGACCACCATTGAAACATGCGTATCCTACATGAATGAACCCGAGAGGCATCATTGCAATCAAATCATTTCTCATCATGGTATCTTCCATCATCATCATCGTCATCATCGTAACTACTGTGCAGAATCATATAACAGATACCACCATCAGCATTTTTGAAGATAGATCGTTCAAGTGAAAATCTGAGGTATATAGCTTAGTGCTGAAACTATTGGAAAATCAATGATTTCACAGGGTTTTCCACCCTGCTGTATTGGATAATTTTTATAGCATTGTTATACCGGATATCTTATTACTCTTTACCGCCAGCTTTCTCCATAAACCACTTCACGATGTGGTCTATCGTTGGATGATTCCAGGTAAGGTTTGGCGGGACTAACACCCCCAGACTCTTCTGCAATCGCCCACGTAAATGGACGGTCATTACGCTGTCCATTCCCATATTGCTCAGGAGCTCCTCGCTGGCCACTTCGTCGATCTCCATCTGCAGCACACTCGCGACACATTCCCGCACCTGTCTTGTAAGAGAATCGAGCCGGTCTGCAGGAGTCCGAAGCGGAGTGAGTGAATCACTGGAAGCACTCAACGGAGGGCTTGGTGGTGGAGTGAGGATCGAGGAGACTTTCTGGATAGCAATGTCGATAAGCAGTGGACTGGGAAGTGGTTCGTGCTTCTCCAATGCACGGCTCCGGAGTACCACAGCGTGATCGACGTCGTATTTGGAGACGTGCATCCAGGCCTGGAACGCCTCGTCCTGTGAAATGTCTGTGATTCCCTTGGTGGCCAGCTCTGCCTTGACGAACTCGGAGCCAGCCGCCATGCCTATCTCGCGCCAGCTCGTCCACTGCATGGCGACAGTGTTATCTCCCTGAGAGCGACGATAAGTTGCGAGAGCATCGAGAAATGCATTGCCGGATGCATACGACGCTTGCCCAGGAAACCCAAAGAATTGGCCACACGAAGAGAACAAGACCATGAAATCTACTGTTTTCGGCGGAAAGAGCATGTTTAAGGTGAGTGAACCTGCAATTTTTGGTGCGAGGACACGCTCGAAGGCGTCTGGAGTGACAGACAGGACATGTTCATTGTGTAGAACTCCGGCTGCGTGGACAACTCCTTGAATGGGAGGAAGGCACAGGTCATCGATGCGACTGGATAGCTGCGAGGCTGCGTTATGAGACGATATGTCGACGGCGATCGCCTGAATCGTGGCTCCATGAGACTCCATTGAAAGGATCTTTTTGATTGCCGATGCCCATGGCGAGGCCGAGTGGACAAGAGCGGCCCAGTCCTTCCGGCGGGGGAGTGCACGACGAGAGACTAGGATGATTCGGCGTGCCCCTTTCTGGACGAGAAAGTCTGCTGTTGCTAGGCCTAAGTCTCCCAGACCGCCAGTGATCAAATAGGTTCCAGAAGGACGAGGAAGAAGCGAGTTCTGTCCTGAAGGTGGCAATGCTTTGGTGCGTGGTAATGGCCGTAGACGTGCAACACGTGGAATACCGTCTGAGATCCGGATGATGTCGCCATTCTGGACATATTTCATAATTGCCAATGGGAACACTGGCGTTTCCAGATCAATTAGGGCTCCCCAATTGTCAGGCACCTCCGATGAAATGATGCGTGAGAGCCCGTGTAAAGGTGCCTGGGCCAATGAGGTGGCTGTTTCAGCCTTTGCCACACGCTGCGTGAGTACAAAGACCCTGGTTGGAAATGCGGAAGAGGAGATACATTTCATGATATTCACAAGATCAGAGGCATATTCCCGAGAGGCAGATGTGATACTATCAGGACTGGACACACACCCTGGGATATAGGTAATTATCGTGTCCTTTTGATGCAAGACGTTTTCATTCTCTGCCAGTTTGACCAATCCTTCTGGAGAGGTCAATATGATCACTGTTTGTGTGTCCCGATTTATAGAAGCCGCATACTCATTGACCAGACCCTCGTCTCTTGAGATGAGAATGACATGCCTGATCGCCAGCGGGCTCTCACTATAAGTTGCTGGTGGCCACGCCAACTGATGCACAAGGCCTTCAAGGCTGCCTCTGTCTTCGGGCGTGCCGTCAATCTCAGAAAATCTCATCGAGTTTACCTGAAGAAGGACAGTCCCGTCCTCATTGCAGACACTGATATGTGCTGCATAATCGCTGTCCGTGGCTTTCTTGACATATAACCAGGCTATTTTAGGAGGTGGCTGCTCGACTAGCATTTTGACCTCCTTGACTTGGGCTGGCATTCGAAGGCGAGGGTTGTCGAAGAATAGCGTTGAAGCCACTGATGTTGCCGAATCTAAAATTGGTGCCCATGAACTTTCGTTCCAGGGCAAATCGCCACTGCCATTGTTCGGACTCACATCTACCTGGGCGACCATCTCACCCAAATTACCATGATGCTCGGTGACGACCCATGGGAAGCCCATGGCTGAGACCCCGACAGAAGCTAGGTAGTCAATGCTGAAGTTATCTTCTAGCTTGTTATTTATACGGGATTTGGCTGCCTCGATGTCGACTTTCCTGGTGGTCGGTTGTTCATTCTGTTCTACAGCCCAGCAGCTGGTCGTGTGCGTTAGCCAGCCGCTGTCGCCTTCGGTGCCGTTGCCTTTAATAAGGCGGGAACATAGTCGGGACTGATTCGACTGGACAACAAATTGAACCTCACGGGGCTCACCGGTAGCAACAGGTACACGCAAACAAAAGTTATACAACACTTTGGCCCCAGTCCCTTGAAGAAAGGTGTTCACCAGGACTGCGGCCGGGATAATCTCACAGCCATGCACGGGATGGCTGCCTGGAAAGGGCTTTGTCTGTTCGTCAATCCTGGTTTCGTAGATGATAGTATTGTCATCCGCGACGCTCAGTCGATGGCCGAGCAGATTATGTTTGTCGACGTCATGCATTCTGGTAGGTTGTTCAGACCAGGCATTGACCTGCCTCCATATTGGTCGGTGGTTCCAGGTGGTTGTAGGTACATTGGGGGCCCAAGCACCTTGCATATACTGATTC